ATGGATGAAGCTGGAAACCATCATTCTCAGCAAACTGACACAAGAACAGAAAATGAAACACCACATGTTCTCACTCATAAGTGGGTGTTGAACAAGGAGAACATGTGGACACAGGGAGGGGAACATCACACACTGGGGCCTGTTGGGGGGTGGGAGGGGCTGGAGAGGGTTAGCAGATGGTGGGGGGATTGGGGAGGGATAACATTAGGAGAAATACCTAATGTAGGTGACGGGGAGATGGATACAGCAAACCACCATGGCATGTGTATATCTATGTAAAAATCCTGCATGACCTGCACATGTACCCCAGAACTTAAAGTATAATTTTAGAAAATTATTCTAATTAAAAATTTTGGTATTATTACAGAAAGCCCCTTCTCAACTAATGTTTGCTTTTCACTATTTTGGTGTTAGTAACCTTCTTACCAATCCTCCTCATCTTCAGTGACCCTAAATTAAGATTTCCATTGACTCTTCAGTTAAAGTGAAGTACCTATATGAGTTTGAAATAGCCAATCTACGCTATTTCAGAATTTTCTTAAAGATGCGCAGCAGACAAAAAATGTTTGATATGTAAGCAGCAGCTGAGTCAGAAGTGTTGCAGTTTTTCCAGGTATTGATTAGAAAAAAATCTCTGCAGGTCCTATTTTTTATCTTTCTTTCCCACTCTTGAGTCAAGGTGCTGCTGGCTGCAACATGAGAATAGGAAGTGTGCACACTTAGAAAGAAAATGTGACTTGACTTTTTAAGTGCATGTTTCATTGCCTAAAGAAAACTGTAGTTAAAAAATGAAGTGGTTTCTTTCCTCAAAATGTAAGAAATATATATAATAGCAATCTAGAGCATATCCAGTCTTGTAACCTCTAAGTGTGTTTTTCTCCCTAGTTCACCATCGAAGATTTCTCTTCCCCCAGCAAAGCCTGAGGCACCATCTTTTCATCTTATTCAGCCAGTGGGCAGGACCCTTCAGCATTATGTTCACTCCTCTGGATCGTTACAGCGACAGAAATCATCAGATTACAAGATATCAGTATTGTGCATTAAAAGTAGGTCACATTGTACTCACAAATGACGTTTGTCAGATGGATGGTCTCTTTCCTTAAACCAATAACCATGCCTAAAAAATAAGCTTAAAATAATAATAGAATAGAATACAGTAGAGCAGGATAGGATAGGATAGGATAGAAGCACACATGCAAAAAATCACATGGACATATACCTACGTAGCTTTTCTAAGCTCCCACTTTCTTCTCATATTTCTCCTATATGAGAACCATATATTTTTGCTCATTTACCTGTTCTGTAGCTGCCTTGTCAATTAACTTTCAACCTAAAAAAGAAAAAAAATAGACATCACCTCAAGTTCAAAATCTACCCAGAGCCACATTCCCTTTTCTCCTTCTATCCTAGATTGCCAAAAATAAACTTCCACCCTACTAGGACTATTCAAAATCTTCAAAAGCATGACTCCTTTATAGCCTAATTTCCTTCAGAAAACTGTTCATCAGCTCTATCATATAGAACATAAGTTGCTGACTCTCAGGTTGACTTTGCTTCAGTGGAGCTAATTTAAACTATGGCTCTGATAGTTGGACCTGCCAATTACAAAGTATTCAAGCTCTCCTATTATCAAACTTTTTCTTGATTTCTCCCTCTCCCCATCTTTTTAGAGGAACTAAAGTTTATATTTTTCCTTTTATTTACCTTTGATTAAGGATTATAATTATTTTTCATATATTCCATACTGTCTCAGTTCAATACATTAGTCCAATATTTGTCATAAAAGCAAAATTCGAAAAGCTATATTTTTCTTATAAGCAGAATTCACTTGAAACATTGAAGAAAGCTTATTTTTAATATTGCAAAATGGTTTTTTTGGTTTTTAATACTCTGACCATAAAGAGTTGTTACAATTATAAAATTAAATGTCCACAAAGATAAATTTATGGGTTTTTAATTCTTATAAAAAGAGCCAAATTCAGATTCATGTATTTTTTATTAAATCTGCTAAAGAATGCTTTAAAATCTTGGGGAAATAAATGTCTTTAGAGGGCCGTGGTCATTTTTAAATCTGACAGTTATGTTTTATAAAGTCAGTTGGATACAATTAGATCATTCCAAGTTTCATTTCCATGTTTTGTTGTGTTTTGATCACCAGGCAATGTCAGCAGTACTGTGCTGTGGCCCTGTCTTTGACAATGTGGGCCTTTCCCCAGATGGCTACCTATATAAGTGGCTTGACAACATTCTGGCTTGTCAAGATTTACGAGTAAGTATAAGCAAAAATACATTGTTTTTAAATGTCTTCTGTGTTCTGCCTCCCTCGGTTGAGTTACTGAGATGTATAAGCATCGTTCACAATACCATCTTTTCACACATCAGCCACACAAGTATAGATTTATGTGTTGTTCACTTCATACTATGATACATCAAGATAAAAAAGACAGTAACATTTGTTAAAATTGACTGTAAGCTGGGTCATAAAGCAGGTCTCAACAGAGGTCACATTAATGAAATGATTCAGACTCTATTCTCTAATCAGAGTAGCATTAATTAGTATTCAATTCAGTAACAAAAAGATAATTTTTAAAAATACTTCCAGATAACCAGTGAGTTACAGAAGAAATGACTATGGAAACTGGAAAATATTTTTAACTGAAGAATAATAAAAATATTATATACTAAACTTGTCGGCTGTAGGTAAAGCCTTTCTTAGAATGAAATGCATAGCCTTAAACGCATATACAAGGAGACTTCAAAACGATTTGTGGAAGAATAGAATTAAAAGATAAAAATTTTAAAAATATAAACTTTATTTCTTAACATCATCTCTATTAAGGTCAAGACATTTTTCTAAATCTTCGCTTAATCCATGCCTAAAGACCTGAGGGTCCTGGGAACTTAATCATGTCAGTGCCACCTTCTTTACATGATTAACTGAGGAAAATTGGGTGGCTTTTAAGGACATTTTTAAGATTGGGAAACAAAAAGTAAGTCAGAAGGAGCCAAATCAAGATTGTAAGGTGGATGCCTAATGATTTCCCGTCAAAACTCTTGCAAAATTGCCCTCGTTAAATGAGAGGAATGACCAGGAGCATTGTCATCGTGAAAAACGACTTTCTGTTGAAGCTCTCCCAGGTATTTTTCTGCTAAAGCTTTGGCTAACTTCCTCAAAACACTCTCATAATAAGCAGATGTTATTGTTCTATAGCCTTCCGGAAAGCCCACAAGCAAAGTTCCTCAAGCACCCCAAAAACCTGTTGCCATGACCTTTGCTCTTGACTAGTTCACTTTTGCTTTGACTGGACCGCTTCCATCTCTTGGTAGCCATTGTTTTTATTGTGCTTTGTTTTTAGGATAGTACTGGTAAAGCCATGTTCCATCTCCTATTACAATTCTTTGAAGATCTATATAATCTTAATTCCATTTGTTGAAAGTTTTCATTGGAAGCTCTGCTTGTCTCTACTGATCAGTTTTGGCTCCCATTCCGTGGAACATTTGCTAAAGTTTAATTTTTCTGTCAGAGTTGTGTAAGCTGAACCAATTGAGATGTCTTTGGTGTTGGTTATTGTGTCTGCTGTTAATTGTCAGTCCTCTTTGATTAGGGTATAAACAAAATGAATTTTTTCCTCACAAATTTGTATGGATGGTCTACCACTGTGGGTGTCACCTTCAACATCATCTTAAAACAGGTTATCTGTTTGTAAACTGCTAATTTATTTGGGAGAATTGCCCCTATAAATTTTTTGTAGAGCAGCAATGATTTCACCATTCTTCCACCCAAGCTTCACTATAAATTTGATGTTTGTACTTGCTTCAGTTTCAGCAGAATTCATGTTACTCTGATAGGGGCTCTTTTCAAACTGATGTCTTCTCCTTCTTAGTGCCTCAAGCTAAATTCTTCAGCTAAATTGTTCAGAAATGTTTTAACAAGTTAGTAAAAGTTTATTTTGGTGCAAACAAATTTTTTAAGCCGTACATAATTTTGTCATAATGTACATTTTCCATGAACTTTTGAGGACCCTCATTTTAAAAAGAGGTACGGCTGATAATCAGTGACCTAAGGATCCATCACAAGAAGTTAGAAAAAGAATAAAATACCAAACTCAAAAACAGTACCATGAAGGAAATAATAGAAATAAGAGCAGAAATTAATTAAAGAGAAACAGATTAATGGTAATGATTAAATGAAAAGTTGAATTTGTTACAATACTAAAAAATTTCATAAATCCATAGCAAGTTCAATCAAGAAAGAGAATGAATTTTTTTTTTTTTTTTTTTTTTTTT